CCTTTGAATTATAGTTCACTTTTATGCTACAGCCTAGAGTTGGAATCTGTCAAATCAGCCTCCAGGAGCTAAGGGGCATGACATTCCTTGCTATAGTTTAATGTATCCAGCCACTTACGTGACAAGAAAATGGTTTTCACAGTCATGACTTTGCAACAGCCTTTCTCACCTGGTGACTTTCTTTTCAACTTTGCAGACTGTGAAACTCTTTTTTTTTAATTTCAGCAGGGAGTAAAGGAATAACCACCAAACTTAGAGTTAGAAACCCTAGGTTCAACCTCTGGCTCTGCCTCTTACTTGTAGTCTCGGGCCAGTCGCTTCTCATTTTTTGCTTATAAAATGAAAAGATTGGACTAGATCCTCTTTTACAGCCCCCTTGCAGCTCTAAGAATCTTCGAGGGGGCATTTCAGGAGGTCAACAAACATCTGGGCATTAGGGAAGTGGAGGTCACATGGCTAGTACGTGGTCACTCAGATGCAAATTCATTCTGACTATAGGGAGTATTCTCTTTAACACCACACCACTGTCTCCCTGTTGCCTCTGCTAACACAGCCAGTCATCGTCTCTTCCATCCTCACTGCTCACAGCATTGCCCAAGGACCAGCAGAGCAGGCATCACCCGGGAGCTTGTAAGAAATGCAAAATCCCAGCCCTCACCCCTGACCCACTAACTCAGTTTAATAGAGGAGCCTAATAAACCACCTTTGTCCACAGAAACAGTGATTCATGTGTACTTTTCTTTGTTTGCATATTTCAGATTTGAATTTGGCAAGGAAACATCCCAAACTCTGAAGCTTGAAAATGCCTTGTATTTTGATCGAAAATACCTTTTTGCAAATTCCAAGACTTACTTCAATCTAGCTGTAGATGAAAAGGGCCTTTGGATTATCTATGCGTCAAGTGTGGACGGCTCAAACATTCTTGTAGCACAGCTGGATGAGAGGACATTCTCAGTGGTGCAGCACATCAATACCACGTACCCCAAATCCAAAGCCGGCAACGCCTTCATTGCCCGAGGAATCCTCTATGTCACAGACACCAAAGATCTGAGGGTCACATTTGCCTTTGATTTGTTAGGAGGGAAACAGATCAATGCAAACTTTGATTTAAGAACTTCCCAGTCTGTTCTTGCCATGTTAGCATACAACATGAGAGATCAGCATTTATATTCGTGGGAAGACGGCCATTTAATGCTTTATCCTGTGCAGTTTTTGTCAACTACCTTAAATGAGTGATGTGCTGCATTCTGCTCCCTTCAGCAAATTTCAGGTGTTTTCTGGGACCAGTTCTCTGCCAACAGGAAACTTGTTTTTTTTTAACGGCAGCCAGATATTTAGAACATAACCTCATGACATAAGTGTTTAAATGGTCAGTGAGCCCCTCTTAGTGAAATAGCAACAGATTGGAAGTTGAAATGGCTGAAATGTGGTGATCTCGCCACAACTGGCTCTGCAAGTTACCTCCTTCTCCTTGGGCCTTAGTTTCCCCATTGGTAATCTGAACCATCTGGCTAAGATGATTGGGAAGATTTTCTCCACCTGTAGGAAATTTGGTGATTCTTGGCGGCTTCTCTTCTCACAACTTTTATGTATCTGCTTCTGTTGTTTAGCTGTTTTAGCCACATGCTGACCAAATTTCCCTTTGAGTTGAGAAGTCCAGTGGCTTGAGTAGTGAATCCCTCAGTGCTGACTTAGATCTGGTTCTTTGAAAAGGTGCATTAACTCTTTAAGACATCTAAAGTATCACATTATCCATAATTTATTGCTTTTCTTTGCATCTGCACCTGCCACCACAGAATAACCATTACCCTCAGCTGCTGACTGGGCAGCTCTGAGATTAGCAAAAGCCAGGGACAGCTACATGTTCAGGGTTTTTTTTTTTCTCAATAAGCTATTTTTTTTTTCTTTTCTTGTTTTAAATAGAGAGTCTTGCTATGTTTCTCAGGCTGGTCTTGAACTCCTGGGGCTCAAGTGATCCTCCTGCCTTGGCCTCCCAAAATGCTGGCATTACAGGCATGTGTGCTGTTTCTTTTTTTTTTTTTTTTTTTTTTTTTTGAGACAGAGTCTTGCTCTGTCACCCAGGCTGGAGTGCAGTGGCATGATCTTGGCTCACTGCAAGCTCCGCCTCCCGGGTTCACACCATTCTCCTGCCTCAGCCTCCCGAGTAGCTGGGACTACAGGTGCCCACCACCATGCCCGGCTAATTTTTTGTATTTTTAGTAGAGACGGGGTTTCACTGTGTTCGCCAGGATGGTCTCGATCTCCTGACCTCATGATCCACCCGCCTCGGCCTCCCAAAGTGCTGGGATTATAGGTGTGAGCCACCACGCCGGCCCCAGGTTTCTTAATAACAGAGAATCACAATCTTCCAGATTCCCCCCAACTTCTTATCATGTTGATTTGTAGCTGTGGATCATGAACAGTGAATCCTCAGATCACGCTGACTTCTTATGCTTCTTCTGTGGATCCACTATCAAAGTACTAAATGCTGTGTAAGTAGACATTAATCTGGCTGGAACCATGGGAAGCACTTTCCAGTGTTCAGAGGAGAGGTGCCATTTGTGGTTATTACGTAGAACTGGGCCAGAGCCAGTCCATTGCCTGTTTTTTAAATAAGGTTTTACTGAGCACAGCCACGCTCATGTATTTACGCAGCACGGCCTGTGACTGCTTCTGCTCTGCACCAGCAGAATCGAGTCATTGCAACAAACAGCGTATGGCCTCACAGTGCCTAAAATACTGACTAGCTGCCCCTTTATGGAAAAAGGTTGCTGACTCCTGATAAAGAATATAAAGTGAGCCTGATTCTTGAAAAAATCAGAACCAGAGCCTGTTTTGTTTTATTCTAAACTAACAAGCCGCATAGGAGTGACTTGCATTTTGAGTAGAGGGGAAGGGTGATAACGGCGTAAAATGAAGTGGCCCTCCACAAAGGCTGGTTAGGGGACTGTTCTTTAACATAGTTTTAAAGGATGTGATCTGGTCCCCTTGGATGCCAGGAGAGAATCCGGTTGAACTTGCTCCTAAATGCTCTTAAATATGCATATTTTCTGCCAACTCACTTCTTTAAACATCTTTCAGCCCAGCGCTGCGGCCCCCGGAAGGGCCACTGCGAATAGAGAGGAAGCTGGAAAAGTTCCTGGGGCTCTGCAGCCAGGAAGGGGAACCAGGATAAATCTTATGTAAAGATTTTCCAGCAACTTGCCCCAATTTGTGTGTGTTCTGAAACTTTTTCTCTGGGACCAAATTCATTCTCAGTGGCCCTGAGTTCAATACATTATTAACAGCAGCATTTTAAAACTTAGGGGATGAGCTAGGCATGGTGGCACATAACTGTAATCCCAGCTACTCGGGAGGCAGGGATGGGAGGATCACTTGAGGCCAGGAGCTCAGGACCAGCCTAGAAAGACCCCATCTCTAAAAAATAAAATATAAGTAAATAAAACTTAGGGGATGTACAGATTTAAATATTCAAATCTCCCAGCTTCCCTGAAAGTCCCCAGGCAGCTGTTAGTGACTTGTTTGTTGTGTCGTCAACATGATGGGTATTTGAAACTTCTCCCCCTACTTTTTCATTAGATTGGTTATGCCATGTTACCTTAGCTTGCAAAAATACTCTTTTCAGATTCACGTTCTATAACAAACAGTCTCATGTTCAAGATCGATATGTCTAATGAGAGCTGGTGTCCTTTTAAAGTATTTAAATATATATGTTGCCGTTGCTGAACACAGGAGACCGGGATAGGGATATAGTTTCATAGTAATAGTATATACAATACTAATTGTATATACGGTAGCAACCAAAAGAGGTTAATTAGCACATATTCCTTTTAGAAAAATGGTTTAGAAACCTCAGTCTTGATATCTGAGCTATCTTGGCTTCCTTACTTGTGAGTAAGGGATCATGCTCACTGCTGGAGAAGCTTACACTGGGACTTTTTTTCTTTTTTCTTCTTTTTTTTTTTGTTATGACAGAATAATGCTAATGTAAGGACAACTGAGTTTGATCAGTGTTTAATGGCAGTGGGTAATCTTATCTGATTGTCTTTAAAAGTGAAAAGGATTAAGATTTTATTCTTTCTTGTAAACATTACTTGATTTTTTAAAAAAGTTTTGGGCTCACTGCTAAAATAGATTATGCAACCTAAGGTTTTTAAGTCAAGATACTGTTTTAGGAGTTTGCCCTCTTATTTATAACCAAAGTTGCTCTAAAGCACTTTCCAAATATCTGCACTTCCGATGTCAGAATCAAACCAGATAATTCTCTAATTCTTCTTTCATCTAAAGTAGATAGCTTCCCACTGGAGAGTAAACAACACCATCCCTCCCAACCTCAAAGCTAGGCCACACTGTATTTCAAAGCATTTTCTTTCAACTGATAAGGTGGCTTCCTGAAGCCAAACAGGTGGTTCTGGTCTCAAAGTATCATTAGGCACAGGTGCTATCACAGAAAAAGTTCTGGGGTGGAAGTTTTAAGATGAGGAGTTCTGATCTTAGGCGTCTTAACAGTCACAAGGCGAAAAGTCAAATGAAGCAGTATAATTCTTGATGAGTCAGGTGTCACCTTCCCGTCACACAAAGGACGTTTTGGCTATGATCATCTGATGGCAAGTGAAGGAGAAATGAGTGATAGGGCTTTTCATTTTCATCCAGATGCCGTGGCCTTGTGTTTCACAGCATTAAGAGCCGTAATTTCCGACCTGCACAGATTCTGAACAACAAATGAATAATGATGAATGTCTTTTTGGTTGTAATTTAACAAGTCAAATAAAATAATCATTGCTGAGCACAATCACATGTTGAAACAAGTGTGTTGTTATTTTTACCTCTTGTTAATTTATATGTAACATTTAAAAGAAAAAATCCAAAACAATATTGTGGTAGAATATTAGTTGCTCCTCTGCGGAAACTCTCAATTTGCTAGCTCCTTCTGAATACAGTACTGGAAAACTGTTGATATGGACTGTCTTTTCTCTATAAGAAAACACGAGCACTGGAAATATAATACTAGAACTGGGTGATACGTAGACATAAATGCAACGAAGATTTGCCAGTTCATCAGCATGGGCAAGGCAACTGAGGACATAATATTTGAGGCTAAAAATTAAAAGAACAAAAATTTAAAACTGGATTTGTGTGAATTTAGGCAAGTCTCTTAATCCCTCGGAGCCTCTTTCATCTGTAAAACATGTCTAAAAAAAAGTAACAGTATTTACTTCCCTTGGTTTTTCTATGCGAAATGCTCTGATAATTATACAGTTCTTGACAAATTATAATTGTTACTTTTGTTGTTCCTCCCTGCAGGGAAACAGAGTGACCCTGTTGTTCTCATGGCCTTATCTAGGGCTGCAGAAATGGTTAGGGACACCATGTGAAAAGTTTCCATGGGCTGAGACCAAAGACCTGTTACATCAGGTAACACTGTCACAACACCAAAAGGTGGTCCCTTAGTTATACAACAGATTTACATAAAACTCCCCAAATAATGAAAAAATGGTTCAAGTACCTGTTACTTTGACCTATGGAGCTTCTTTATAACCTTCCCTAGAAGTGCTTGTTACTGGACTTTTGTAACTGAAATATTACAAAGTGAAAAAGAAAAATCCAAGGAGAAAATAATAGTCTCACCCCTTTAAGAGGACCATTCAGACCGTGCATGTGATTTTAAGATATCTAATCTTCTATCTATTCACTGTAAAGATTTTAAATGAAGGTGAAATTGGTCTTTCCGTCCCACTACTGTTTCCTCCCAACACTCTGGTATGATCGAGCTCAACAATTGAGTTCAGCTTTAATAAAGAAGTGGTTTAAACTACTTCTAAACTCAGATTTTTGTGTCTGGCAACATGACATTGTCAATGTCCCAAGCTGCTTGCCCAGAGGCCACATCCACAATTGCAGGATGATAAAAGGTCAACACTGGATGGGAACCCTACAGAGCACTCGATCCCACTCTCATTGTAAAGTCTAGGAAAGTGAGACCAGAGGAGATTCATGACTAACTCACCCCACGTGCAGCTTAAGTGCCAGAGTCAAAAGGAAGCACTGTTCCCGACTTTATGTTTTCCACCTCATCCCACCGCTTCCAAAGATAGGATCTGGTTCTTATAACTGGAAAGTGGAAAAGTTAACTTTGAACGCTTTTTAGGGCACTCCTTTTTAAAAAGCTATGTCTAGAGAAATATGCCAAACCCAGCCTCGTCTTGCAGAGAAGTTCCATCACTGGGTAATGGCCAGGCTCACCTTCTGGAGCAGATACACACGCCCAAGTCCAGCACTACTTGTTACTCTCGGGATTCCCACCACTGGACAGCCCTTCCTTGCCCAGGGCTTTAGAAACATCAAAGTAGCTGCCACTTAGTGCTCATCATCTCTATGCCGTGGTGTCTTCTGGGCAATCAGCACACATGATTTCACTCAACCATGCCCAAGTAGGAAAGTCCTTAGATATCCCCCCTTCTCTCTACATGATGTTTAAATCCTCTCTACAAATGCAGTGAACACTGTGATGCACTCACAACTTGGATTCTACTTCAGAAAAGACATTTTGCTTTTGGTGCTGGAAGTGCCGTCAGCATATAGCGTTCAGCTGTCAGCGCCTACAGAAATGGTCAGTGCTGCAGAGAACCGCTTAGCCCAAGGATACGCCTCGTCATCCAATGACTGATCAGTGTGAGAATTTAAGGCCTAGACACCTCAGCCCACCTTGGAATTACTCTAAAGAGCAATTCTAGAGCCAGAGCACCCCATGGTTCAGCCAAGTCTGTCCCTGGGCCTGTACGGCCGACTGACTTTCTCTGTCCTTCCTGCTTCTGGCCCCTCCTTTCCACAGGTGTTGATCCTAAGGGCTCTTCTTAATGACATCATGCTGGCTAAACTCCATCTCAGAGTTTGCTTCCCAGGGAACCCAACCTGTTGTCAAATTGCCACATAAAATACAGGATGCTCAGCTACATTTTAATTTCAAGTTGACAGAAA